AGAATATGAGGTCAAACGGAGGGTATCACTTGGTGAAGTTCCCTCGTGAGGTATTTTTTGAAAATTTTTTAAAATCAAGTTTAATTTTACCTAAACCTTAATTCTGCCTAACACATATACACCAAAATCATTCTGCTTACCCGAATCTCTCTAATAAGACTTTCGCCAACTAGATGTTCGCCAATGGCGGAATTCCAGTTAACTTCCGCCAACTAGTGAAAATCCATAGAACTGTCATTAGTAAAAGCTGCTCATACATGAAAAAAAATCTTTATTGACTATCGTAGAATACGTACATTTATGTCATAGTCATGAACTTCATGTATCATTTGAGATAATAATTAATCAACAAATGCCCATCACTACTCATGTTGGTGCACTGCGATCTCAAATTAATGCAACTACAACCGTCATAGTTAACAAAGCGATATTAAAAGGTGTATGAGATAAAAATACTCGAAAATCTCAATCACAACAAAAACAAAAGCAAGTGAGAGCACAGACATCTACAGCTTTGCTCGACACATTAGAATGTTCTATCATTAATCAACAACGGTCGATTTCGCAAACTGGACTTATACTTCAAGTTAATAGTGTTGGCGATCGAACAGAGAAACAACTGGAAGAAGATGTTGATATGCCACTCGAAAGTTCATTTCGTGATCAAGATTTGGTGTCGTCTACTACTACTAGTAAAGAGAAAGTCATTGAACAAAAAATCAATAAACCAACATCACCTTCATCATTAGTAGTTTTATCAAAATTATCATCCGATTCAATATTATCATCTATAACTACGGAAGTTATTAAAGAAGCTCATCCGGTATTGTTATTCGCATCCTCAAATGAAAATGAGAGTGACGTTACCAGCAATCCAGTAGTGAAACGAGATATTATTGTTGGTTAATCGACTAGAGTTGGCAAAATAATATTCATGAATCATTATGGATATTTATATATGAACAAAACAAAAACAGCGATGGGTTGGCGATGTGTTAAATGAAATGAAAACTGTAAAACTGTAATTTACACAAAGAAGAGTTCTGCTACTGAAGTGGATAATATCATTGTCATTTAGTTAATTTAAGCCGCCATGGTTGAGTGGTTACGTTGTTCGACACGTATCCACAAGGTACTGTGTTCAAACCTCAGTAACATCATCCATGGAATGACCCTGGACAAGTCACTAACGACTAAGTTGTCTCAAATGACTCATTCCACATGAGTCATTCATACTGGTTATCTTTAGTCAGTATGTTGGACGGAAGAGGGTGCAGATACCGCCGTCTGTAAAAAGAAAAAGACGACAGAACCCGGCTGCATGTGGAAAACTGTAATAATAACCGCGGCCGGCCCCTAAGGGCGATAAGCCTATGGGACGTTATTATTATTATTATTAGTTAATTTAAGTGATACTCGCAAATGTGAAATCTTGACAAAGATAAAGAATAGAGTTCTTGATGAAGTCATTTCTATAAAATTAATCATTGAAGAAGAATATAGAAAACCACATTTATCGACCAAAGAAAAAAAGCAATGCCACTTCCAGTAAAAATCGGTACTTTAATTCTATTTTTGCTTTTTGATAATAGCTATTCTACAACATATTCTCCTTGTTTAGAGTCTGATTTACAAAAATTACGCCAAAAAGCGTTACCAGTGATATCAAATAATCAAAAATTTGTCATTCCAGATGTATATAAAGAAACATATGCTTATGAGCGTTTCTTAATTTATGATAAAAGGAAAAGTGTTTATGGTGGACGATCATTAATCTCCATATCAAATGAACAACTGAAAGTGTTGTTTCATTCTGAGGTGCTTTTTTTTGATGGAACATTTAAAGTAGTAACTAAGTTATTTGAACAGCTATATGCTATTCGTGATTTAGAAAACGGAGAAGGTATATATATATATAATGATACATGAAAGTTATGAGAGAACACCTGGATAAGAGAGAGAGAGAGTATAGTTCATATATATATAAACAAAGTCATATGACGTGCAAAGAAAAAAACAATTAAGAAACAAAAGATAACAAACAAATATGAAAAGAAACATTGCTGTTATTCAGTATTGACTGATATCATTCTATTCAACATGAAATTAATTTATTTCAAATACTTTTCTTATGTGTAGCTGTTCCAGTATGTTTCATATTGATATCAAACAGACGTCACAAAACATACGAAGCAATCTTTCGATGTCTGACGAAACAAGGAGTGGACATGGATATGCATTTGCAACTAAAGAGTATGATCTGTGATTTTGAACAAGTATTTATCAATGCTGTTGGCCAGGTGATACACATGTTTCTTTTGTGTCATCTACACCATCTAAAAACATTTCCATTCTTGCGTGTTTCTAATATAGCTATCAGAGACATCCGTTATAGGATGTTAGTTCCATTTTTGTCGGTCCTGCTATAGGAATCTGCAAAAACTTGGTCCTTTGATAATATACGATGATAATATTGAATTGTGTGCTCTCCTACGTGGTTTCATGGCATTAGCATTACTGCCTATACACTATATATCGAATGGCTTTAGCATCACAAGGTACACGACAATTAGAACCTTTTATGTCATATTTCGAAGATGAGTGGCTGAAAACATTTACACCTTCTTCATGATCCGTTAATATTAATACCCGAGGGACAAATAATTTTGGTGAAGGTAAAACACAGCATCGCATTGAGTATGAAATCATTTTACATGTCTACATTCCTAACATCTTACTTTCTATATTTCAGCTCAAAGTAACTGCACGTGTTGTCCAGCCGCATTCAAATCTTTGGCGTTTTTTTCGATGTTTAAAACAAGAAAAAACTGTAATTCCTCACCGAATGGTACAGACGAGCTTGAATCTGAGTTCTGTTAAATAAGACAAATCAACACATAAAGCAGCATAGAAAAGAAAATAGATAGAAAACTTGCTACAGTTGCTAGAATCAAAAACAAAATCTTTGGCCGATACAATTTGTGGGCGTGTAGCTCGAGGTGGCTAACTCTAGATGGTGAAGCTGGAGAGGTGATGATAGTGATGATTTTATTGAAATAAATCAGCACTATAAATAGCACAGTGTAACGAAGGTGAAGCTGGACAACGACCATCAAGCTTCACAAAGAAAAAAATGATGAAACTACAGAGATGATGAAATGAAAGATAATGAAATGAACAAGGTGAAAGAAAAGATGATGAAATGAACAAGGTGAAAGAAAAGATGATGAAATGAACAAGAACCACCGATCACTAACATATGTGACATATGTAGAAGGAACAGAAAGAAAAGGTATATGGCTGGACGAGAGGATGATGTACATCATCCTCTAACACAATTGTATCTCTTGCTCATCTTTTTGTTGAACCTACTTGTCGTGGATGCAAAAGAGAAAAAAAGAAGCATAATAACTCGAGCTCAGACATATCAAACCCACCACCGCGTTTACCATCAAATCAAGTTCAAGCTTTTCTTTATATCTTTTTTATCACATATATTATTCTCGCTTTTTCTTATATTTAAAATTCTGTCATATATGAATACATTCTAAATGGAAGGCAGAAGATGTATCAGCTCATCTCAAGTTTCACCATAGAATCTTTGTCAGTATTCTTAAATAAGAAATAGTAGAGCTTTAGTGAACTTTTCTACCAGCTGATGAAAATACAGTGCGCACTCGCCAATTGGCGAGAGGCGAGAATCCCAGCCATTCCTACAATATAGTAATAAATATTCTACGATCATAGCTACTATGTAGATCTTGGTTGAAAAGATTTATAAATATAATTAGAATAATAAAAAAACATATTTATTTATGTAAATCGATATCTGCTAAGTAAAACGGTAAATGTAGTTTGGACAAAATCAGATTTCTAGATTTTTAAGACATTTTCAAAAATTCCACGATGAAACGAATCTCAAACGAATTAAATAATTAGGAAAGAAATCTATTTGGATTTATTCTATATGATATAAACTTGAGTAGATGGAAAACATGATTGTATAAGAAAAAGTAATCATTTCATGTGGAATTAATCACAGAGAGATTTTAAAAGGTGTTTGAAATGTCTGTATAATAATGTATTCAATTTTCATGATTAGTATGAGGATCATTCCAGCATTCTAAACAATCAAACGAATTATCTATAATCTCATTATCATCTATATTAATATTTTCTCTTTGATTTCTTTTGTCAACATTATCTCGAGATTTCATAATTTTTTTTACCATTTGCTTTTTTAATAAACAATTCTTTTCTACATTTGTTGTTATTTTTGATTTTAAAATGATTTGAAGTGGTAATGAAGAAATAATATTAGGTTATCCATCAGAGTTTCCAATAGCAGTTGTACAAAGCATAAGCAAAGTGTGCTGTACAACTGCAATTTTTTATTTACACTCTGATTTACAACTTGATTCTAAAATGTCAGAAGCAGTAGATAGTAGTGTATTGTGAATCGCAATACACACTTTGTCTCATTTTTTTTTGTAAATGAACATGTCAGATTACGAAATGATATGCTTATTTATCACTCATGTGTTTGTTATTCAACAAGTATTTATATAAAATACTCATGAAGAAAGTAGAATTATTTTTGTTTTTTACATTGGAAAAACATCATAAGTACACTTCGTACACTTTGCAGGCAAAAAGAAGGTGTACGCCAACGTTGCGCCTACCTAAGCAAAGCGTACCAATACGTTTTGTTTGAATTTTCTATTCGAAACTCTGGTTATCCATTATTATCTGATACTTGTTCGAAATGGAATTTACATTTTTGCTTTCTATTTTCATAATATCCCATGTCATCAAAATCGGGGAAAAATCGCGATTCATCGCCCAAACCTTGGCGATTTTGAAGACATGGGACTTCATTGATGTTTTAGAATTTCTCTTTTCAACAAAATCAAGAGTTTATTTGAGCTTAAAATTCATGTTGAAAAGAAGGATAAAATCTTTGAATAAAAAAATAATTAAAAACTTGAAACTATTTGATTATCAATATATTTATTTCTATATATCTTAACTAATTGAAAAAAATGAGTAAAATTTTATCGGACGATAAATCATCCGACTGAGCAATAAATATATTGGCTGAGCGATAAATATAATAATTCAGCAATAATTAAACTAACTAAACAATAATTTATTAAAACTAAAACTAAATATTAAATAGCAAAGACAATATAGACTTCTTTTGTTCTATGCTATATCGTACAGATTACAGCGGAAAGGCCATGTGTGAAAGAACAGAAAAAAAACTGTGCACATATATGAAGAGAACAGAAAGAGAAGATATATGAAATGAGGAGGGTGATTCGAATGAATCTCTAATATGTACATGTAATCTCCTTTATTTCCTTGAATCACTTGGTTTTGTCCAACCGTTCTAATCTCTTTATATTTTTTCGAGATTTTCCCTTCGCGTTTTATGTTAATTTTCAAACTATTTTGGATTTTTCTCTCATTTGTAAAAAAAAGAGAAATTAATGTTTTGTCAGTGAGATCCATTTACCTGTTGACAAATATATCATTTGTGCAGATGACTCAAGCACAACGCGTATCACAGTATATTTCTGATGCTCAAAGTAACGATGATATACAACTGGACTCGTCTACTAATTGCAAAAATGTTCAGCAAAGAAGAAAATAGATTCCAATATGCACATTCAATAATAAACATGAAGCTATTAACAAAATAAAAAATGATGGTACGTGGAGCATAACTCATACAAATATAATACGTGAGGGAGAACGGGTTTACTATAGATGCAAGAAGCAGAAAAAACGTGGAAAACAATGTCGTAGAGTAGAGACAAGGTACTTGCACTTGCTCATCATTTCTGAAAAAATACATCTGTAAACACATTATCGGACTGTCTATAAGGCTGAAATATTGCAAAG